AAAAAAAAAAGAAAGAAAGAAATGTACTCACTATCTTGCCCATGTAATCGTAACCCCTCTGTATGGTATTTTCACAATAAAAAAAAACAGGAAAAAAAAGATACTTTAAAAAAATAAATTAAGAAGGGGATCTAGGGGAAGGATTTAATGTCTGACTTAAATTGTTTTAAGAAGTCAGCCAGGAAAAATCATCATGAGGTAAAACAGCTTTAAAAAGAAACCTGGCAACTGCAAACCAGATAAAACAGGACATAAAAAGTTATAACGAGAAATTTGCATTTGATCTTAGTTGTCACTGGGTTTCAAAGCACAGGAATTAATGTTATGGTTAAGATTTTTGTGTCAGAAACACATTTCTAGCAGTTGTGTGGAACAGTTGAAGATTAGGAAGAGTTAAATGGTTAATTTAACAGTCAAGTGAAGTCTGCATGAGAGACAGTGGTGGTACTTTTAGAAAAGAACATGGAAAGCAGTATAGAGGTTCCTCAAAAGACTCCACATAGAGCTCCCCTATGACCCAGCAATCCCACTTTTGGGCATTTACCCAAATGTTTACAAACAAGACCACACTAAAGCTACCAGCACAACTATGTTTACTGCAGCATTATTTACCATAGCTAAGATATAGAACCAACCCAGATGCCCCTCAGTAGATGAATGGATCAAGAAAATGTGGTATATAGACACAATGGAATTCTATGCCTCCATCAGAAAGAATGACATTGCCCCATTTGTTAGGAAATGGAAAAACTTGGAAAAAATTATATTAAGTGAAGTAAGCCAGGCCCAAAAAAACATAGGTCCTATGGTTTCCCTTATTTGCAATAACTAGTATATATCTGAGACAAGCATAAATGGTCAGATAAGTTGATGTTAAGTAATGAACCCCAAATTAAGGACTCAAATATTTTTTTTCTTTCTTGTTATTGTTTCTAACATATTTATAAGATATTTCTTTGTTGCTTTGTATGCCCCTCCCCTACGGTATAACCCGTTTTCACTGTATTTGATGTTGGTATAATTTGTGGAGGGGAAGGGAAAAAACAAATTGTTTAAATAGGGATACAGGTGGACCCATGGCACCAATGAGATGTACAAGACATTATGTCAAATATGAACTTTACAACTTTGACGTGTGGGGGGGGTGGCGGCGGGGGGAAGGGGGGGAGAGATATGGGAAGGGATGGTAAGGGGTGAAACAAAGGAGGAGGCAACAATGCTTGATAAGAAATGTACTCATTACCTTGCCCATGTAATTGTAACCCCTCTGTACGGTATTTTCACAATAAAAAAAAAGAAAGAACAAAGAAATAATTAGGAAGCTACATGGTAGAGCTTCCTGATTAATTGGCTATCTAGATGCCAGGGTCAAGTTTCAAGCTTGGCTGAAAAGGGTACACACAAACTAATAAGAAAAGAAATTCAACAGAAACCTCTTGCACAAAATTAAGGGCAAAAAAAAAACCACTTAGCAGGTTATGTAACAATTTAAACACAACTGACAATAATGCAGCACCGAGAGTTTCTCCACATCAAATGAACTGTGTAATGAACATGCAGGAATTAAAAGTTTTGTTTTCAAAATTTTTAATTTTTTTGCTGGTATTGTGGCTTGAAATTTGTGCGTGGGTGCTGTCCCTGAGCCTCTTTGTGCTTAAGACTAGCGCTCTACCCCTTGAGCCACACCTCCACTTCTGACTTTTACTGAGTGGTTTATTGGACATAAGAGTCTCACGGACTTTCCTGCCCAGGCTGGCTTTGAACCGTGATCCTCAGATCTCAGCCTCCTGAGTAGCTAGGATTACAGAGATTAGCCACCAGCATCCAGCAAAATTTTTATTTTTTTATTATTTTTTACTGCACTTGGTCAATACCATTTGTAATAAATCCACAAATAAAGTTCCCCCTCCCAGCTACTCAGGAAGCAGAAATTGGGAAGACCACATTTCAAGATTAGTCTAGAAAAAAAAAGAAGTTGGCAAGACTCCTATCTCAATAATACAGGTATGATGCTGAATGCCTGTGGTTCCAGTTAAATGGGAGGCTCACAGCTAGAACTGACACCTGACGCTGGCCCAGGACAAAAAACATGAGACTCTACCAAAATAACTAAAGCCACAAAGGATTGGAGCCTTGGCTCAAATGGCAGAACATATGCCAAGAAAATATTAGGAGCTTGATGTCAAACTCCAGGCCCACAAAGAAAAAAAATCCTCAAATAGAGTAGCCTGTTTATTTTGGAATGGGGTCTTCAATGAAATATGTTAAGATGAGGTCTAATTAGGGTGGATTCTAATATGCAAGATTATACAAGGAAAGTAGAACACAGACACATAGCCCATGTACAAAAACACAGAACATAGCATCTACAAAGAGGCTGCAAAGTAACCAAGCTAGTGTATACCTTGACTCAGACTCTGAGCCTCCAGAATTATGACAAAATAATAAATAAATTTCAATTATCTAACCTAATACTAAGAGCTGAATTATGACACATGCATCCCACCACCAAATTCCTATGTTTAAGTACTAACCACCAAAACAATAGTATTCAGAGACAGGGCTTTATTCTAGCATGACAGGTATAACAGAACAAGGATAAAACCTGTAAGATGTACACACAAAGATGCCATTCAAAAACTCAAGAAGGCAGCTACCTATATGCCAATGATTGCCTTACTAGAAACCAACCTTGAAGGCACTTTAATCTTAAGACTTTCAGAACTGTGAGAAAATAAAATTTTACACCACCCAGCCTGTGGTACTTTTTATAGTGACCCTAACAAACTAACAACCTTACTAATCTAATAATTTAAGAAGTATTATAACACCTTCCTCACCATCTTGAATAATGTAGCAGATGCCATCTCAGCTTCATTTAATGTCTTCAGGAGAAACATAGGCCAAGATGACACACTCATCTGGTATCCTATTTCAAAAAATAAATTAGGTATCATGAAGAAACTTCCCAGTGATGCTAGCAGGTTAAATATTAAAAAAAATAGATTTCATTCACCATTCCTCTTAAGAGAATGACTTTTTAAATTTATTTGTATTTGTATTGGTATTGTAAGGTTGATAGGAGTTATAGTTACATAAATCAGGTAATGAGTACAATTCTTTTTTAACCCTGTCTCCCCTTACCTGGCTCTCTCCCAGTTTTTTCCTCTTGTTTCTTTTTTACGGACTTAGGGACATGGACAAAAAGAACAGATCCATTCTCTTTTTGTTACTTTTAGAAACTTTCATTTCAGAGAGCTACTGGCTACAGTTCACCAACAAACATGTACACGTTTAGAGATGGATCATAATAGTAAAGTCAGACCCCAGAAAGAGATTCCATTCTACCATTAACAACCAAAAAGCCATAGGCAAAGGTTGCAAGTGACTCCTTAGAACCCCTGGCTTAAAACTATACATATAGCAATGCATTTAATTGTATGTGTTATTGCAAAATAATAAAAACCTTATAGCCAGGTGAGGTGGCTCATGCCTATAAATCCTAGCAACCCAGGAGACTGAAAATGGGAGGATCACAGTTTGAGTCCAACCTGGGCAAAAAGCTTAGAAAGCACCATGTCAACCACCAAAAACCTGGGCACAGTGGTGTGCACCTATTATCTTAGTTTCATGAGAGACATAAATAGAACTGCAGCCAGGACAGACCAGGCAAAAAACAAGACCCTATTTTTTAAATAATGAATGTAAAAAGGAGAGTTAGGGGCATGAGTGAAGTAGCAAAGTGCTTGCCAACAAGTGCAAGGCCTGAGGTTCAAACCTTAGGGCCACCAATTTAAAAATCTATAAATATTTATTCTGGTTATTGATACACATGCTGAAGTATTTAAGAGAAGTTTACTATTGTCAATAACATCAATAACTAAAGATGAATTGATAAATCAATAGAAAGGTGATTTTTAAAAATCCAGTAAGCACAGTAAAATAAATAATAGAAACCCAGAGTCTACTTGAGACAGCTTCTCTTAACTCTCATTTTATCCTGTGCTATTATTCAAGATTTTTCTAAGTATAACATTTTTCTTTATAATTGCCTAAAGTCAGACATAAATTAAAATAACAAAAAGATAAAGTACAGGGCTGGGAAGGTGGCTCAGTGGTAGAGTGCTTGCCTTGCATGCATGAGGCCCTGGGGTCTATTCCTCAGCACCACATAAGCAGAAAAAAGCCGAGTTCAGGCCCCACAACTGACAAACAAAAATAACAATAATAATGTTATTTTAAAACTGTCCTGCTGGGCGCTGGTGGCTCACGCCTGTAATCCTACCTACTCAGGAGGCTGAGATCTGAGGATCAGGAAGTTGAGATCTTAGGAGTATGGTTCAAAGCCAAAAGTCCTTTGGACTCTTATCTCCAATTAATCACCAGAAAGCTGAAACTGGTGCTGTGACTCAAGTGATAGAGCATTTAGCTAACGCTGAAGAGCTCCAGAGTTCAAGCCCTATGACCAACCAAAAAAGCCAAAAACTGTTTATCCTACTCTTAGGCAAGAAACACAAGAGGCACAATGCCTAAGTGCCTCTTCATATTTATATAAAATAATATACATACTGAAACAAACTCCAAGACATGAAAACAATAGACTTTAGTTTTTAGTTTTTGGTGATTCTGTCTTCTTTACCTTATGCATGATGGATTCATATGTATATCTTCAGGGAGGGCACAGAACTTGAGGGGGAAGGGAGGGGGGAAGTGCAACAGTGGAGGGCACTGGACACTGATGAAAGTGAGAGACAGGAGGAAGGGACTAGGAGAGAATGAGGGATCAGAAAACACTGTTTGAAAGGATATGTACTTATTACCTGACATGCAATTATAATTCCTCTAATATATCATCTCTATAATAACAATAAAGTAAATTATTTTTTAAAGAAATATTGCTAATCCTTACCTAATGGAGGCTGAAGAAACTGTCCTTTCCTTTCACATGTTCCAACAGGTTGAATGTCTGAGGAATCAACAAGTCTCCAAAAGTCATTCTTATCATCACTACCATCCAGCCGTAAATGTACTCTGGCCCCAATACATTCAATGACGGTGGCGACACATATTGAAGTCATATTCCGAGGGTCACGGGCTTCCAATTTCATGCCAATTTTGAAGTCATTAGTTGGTGGAATCTCAGACTATATATAAATATAAGTATGTTAAAATGCATGAACTCTACGAAAAACAGCACACAGTAATCAGCAAAGTGTAAATGAGGTTAACACTCCAAGGGCTATGGAAAAAGAACTGCTCCCAGCTTCCTTCTTGGCTTGACATGAAGAATAAAAACACTGCCCATACTAGTCTCTCTCACCTGACCACATTCAGGTAGCCCAAATAGGACCTCTAAAATGCACCTCGAGTGCCTTTCCAAAAGAAGAATCTGACCAGGCTCTTCTCCCTAAAAATAAGCCAACTAGTAGTTCATCACTGCTTATGATAAAGTCCAAAATCTCTGCACAGTTAAACACCCTCATACCTTTAACCCTAATCCCACACTATTACTTCTATCTACTCTGTGCTCTAGCTATCCTATGGCATGTTCCAACAGTCAAGATTCTTTCACACTGCTGTGCTTTAGCTTCAAGTGTTTCCTCTTCATAAAACATCTTTCCCCCCACTCCAACCATCCGGAACAGCATCTTTTCTATGAAGTCTCCCATATAAAGTTATCACATTTCTTATAATTATGTATATACCTGTATATCCCTCCAGATAAGCAAGCATATATACTTAACATAGAGTAAATTCATGAGTGAATGCAGAGACCATTTGACTTCTATGTGGTACTACCACAATCTACTTTCTCCTCAAACTCCAGAGCCTCACAATCACACAGAACCCTTCAACAAGTTAATGGTTTACATTAATACATACAACATCTACAGAATTTTGGCATACCTGTCTGAAGCATTCTGAAGGAGCACTTATGGATCCAGTTTCTTTCAAATATTCATCCCAATTAAAATAATCTGAAAATATATATACATATATACACGAAATGGGTTTGGGGTATATATTATCTATACTAACTTTCAGAATAAAATGGGTTTTTGTTCCACGCCTCTTTCAAAAATACTTTCTAAAGAGAAGATTCAATTCTTGGTCTATATTTGATAATAATGTCTCTGCATAAATTTCAACCCAGATCCTCTCAATGAATTGAGCACTGAAATACAACAATTCGAAGTGATTCTGAAAATACGGTCTCAAAATGTGACTCAGTAGCAGAGTGCTTGCTTAGCATTCATGAGGTTCTGGATTTGATCACCAACACTTAAAAAAGAGGTGAACACTAGAAACAAAGGAATTTTGATAGAGTAACAGCAGTTTATTTACCTGATTCTAATACACATTTATTCAGTAAATGTATTTGTATAAATGTGTTTGTACTGCTCTTATTTCACTTAATCTCTATCAATTTATCTCAAGTACAACGAAATTTTTTTTGCCAGTCCTGGGGCTTGATCTTAGGGCCTGGGCACTGTCCCTGAGCCTCTTTCTACTCAAGGCTAGCACTCTACCACTTGAGCCACAATACCACTTCCAGCTTTTACTGGGTAGTTTATTGGACGTAAGTGTCTCAGGGACTTTCCTGCCCAGGCTGGCTTTGAACCATGATCCTAAGATCTCAGCTTCTTGAGTACCTAGGATCACAGGCATGAGCTGCCAATGCCCAGCTAAAACAATAGAATTTTAAAGTATAATATTTTGTCAGTATTGAGGTTTAAACTCATAATTTCACATTTTCCCAGCTTGCTTGATTGGTTAGTTGGCACTCTACCATTTGAGCCATACCTCCAGTCCAGCTTTGTGTTGTGTTATTTTAGGGTGGGGTCTCTACAACTTTCTTCACAAACTGGTTTAAAACTTTGTTTCTTTGCTGGGCATTGGTGGCGCATACCTGTAATCCTACCTACTCAGGAGTTTGCGATCTGAAGACTGCAGTTTGAAGCCAGCTTGGGCAAAAAGCCGGTAAGAATCTTATTTCTGATTAACTACCAAAAGATCTAGAAGTGGATCTATAGCTAAAGTGGTAGAGTGCTAGCCTTGAGCAAAAAAATCTCTCAAGGACAGTGCCTAGGCTCTGAGTTTAAGTCCCAAGATAGGCCAGCAGAGCTATAACTTTGATTCTTTGGATCTCAGCCTCCCAATTAGCTAGGGTTACAAGGATGAGCCATTCAACACCTGAATCAATTGTTTTAATTTTGCTATTGCTTAGATTTGCTATTTACAGGAGCTTACTATATACAGACTATACCAAAAGCAATAATAAAAGGGTCCATTTTTAACACTGAAGGAGAAAGAAATTGACATTGTATTAAAACTACTTTAAAACTTACCACTTTGCACAGATGATCTGCTTGAATCAGAGGGTTTCTCTTCATCAACCTTCTTGACAGCCATCGACTCTAACAAAAAAGAAAATAACAATACCACAAGGCTATACCAACAACCTGAAAGCAACTAAAAGATATAAACTATTAGGGACCAATTTTAATTTTATGATTAGTATTTTTATTTTCTACATAGGTCTAATCACTTCTATAATATACCATGTATTTTTTAACTTACTCCTTAATTTCACTTACTATACGTCTCACTCTACTCAAATGAAAAATCCATAACATCAGGAACTGATTTTTTTTTTCCATCTTGCTCACTGCTGTATTCACAGTGTCCAGAATAGGGCCTAGCACAAAAAACTCAAGTGTTTGTTACATGAATGCATTAATAAATAAAAATGAGTTGATCTTTAAAATAACATGCTCAAGAAGTGAATTTAAAAGGCTTTTGAGTTTAAAAAATATAATGCGAAAACTAGAATATGACACAATTCAACTGAGTAGGCAAAGAATTCAAATAACATTGAACCCTTGATACTTCACCTCTTCATTTCATCCACATATATCATAGTATGTATCTCTGAAAGGACAGACTTGATTTTTTGGTGTGTTTTTTTTTTGTCAGTCGTGGGGCTTGAACTCTGGGCTTGGGCGCTGTCCACGCGCTCTTCAGCTCAAAGCGAGCGCTCTACCACTTGAGCCACAGCACCACTTCTGGTTTTCTAGTGGTATATTGGAGATAAGAGTCTCATGGAGTTTCCTGCCCGGGCTGGCTTTGAACCGTGATCCTCAGATCTCAGCCTCCTGAGTAGCTAGGATTACAGGCATGAGCCACTGGCACCCAGCCAGACTTGTTTTTAAAACTTAAGCATAGTATTAAACAATTAATCACGATTCCTTAATATCATCAAATAACCAGTCAGTATTTTTATTTCTCTTATTGCTTCATTCTGTTTTAAATTCATTACCATCAGTTACATAAGGGGGTTGGATTTTAATATGTCCATATATACATACAGTGTACCATTATCTTAAAAGTATATGCTCCAATTCAGATGCCAGGTTCCCATACAGCAGTGGTTGATATCTCTTAGTTCTCTTTCACTCTATAGTAGTTCCTTCTCCTTTTTTTTCTTTTTTGTCGTTACAAATTTTTCACTGACAATAAAGTTAATTGTTCTTTTAGTTTTCCAGTCTGGAATTTACTACCTAGATCCATTGGTTTATTAATGGCAGCAAAATGGAAGGACTATCATCCTTTCTAAATAATCCAGACAGCTTCTATGAAAATTGTCTTCAACTATGTACTACTAATACATTATTTCCTTTATTCTCCAGTTTTCAAAATGACAAGTGAGACCTTTTTTTGGTGCTGGTACTAGGGCTTGAACTCAGGGCATGAGCACTATTCTTGAGCTTTTTTGCTCAAAGTTAGTACTCTACCACTTAGGCCATAGCTCCACTTCTGCCTTTTTTTGGCAGTAATTGGAGGTAAAAGGTTCACAGGCTTTCTTGCTTGGGCTGGCTTTGAATTGTTTATTGTGATCCTTAGATCTCAGCTTCCATAAGTAGCTAGGATTACAAGTGTGAGCCATTGGTGCCCAGCCTGTAGGACCTCTTAACACTCTCCACAAATCACTAGTAGGTGATTTGTTACTATCATGAACTCATGGATTTAAACATTCTTGATTTATTTCTGTCACTGTTTTAAACTTATAGATGCTCTGTCAAGTCATAAGCTTCTTGAAAGACTTTTTTTTTTTGGGGGGGGTCCAGTCGTGGGCCTGAACTCTGGGCCT